CGAGCCGTTCTCTGAGAGATGGTAAACTTTAGCCGCATTCATCGTGAAACTTGCTAACTAGCACGTTATTAGGATATAACTAAGGCGATTTGGTAAGGTTATAAGGCGATTTGCAAAGATTCATTAAAAAAAACGTATACTCACTTCTTCTGAAGGTGAAGCTGGATCGCGAATGATTCGCGTGAACATAAACACATTTAGGTAGATCGGGGGCACATTCCCTTCACAAACAAACGTAATCCACTGCGTCTTCTGGGGCTCAGATGTCGGGAGTAAATTATTACATCCAACAACAAAACACCTCAATCGTTTAGGAGACATTCTTGTCTACATCTGCTCCGGCGGTGAAACAATAGCGGACTGATGACAGCTCACTCAGGGCGTGTCTAAGGTAAAACGCTACTGTCAATCAACAATCGTGGGAGGTGCCTGGGTCTGTGTGACGTCACACAGACAAGAAGCTGAGAACGGCTTGATTTGAGAAAGGGGTAATGATTTTAGTAGATTTAAAAAAAACACTTGGTGGTTTTTAATCATTATAGGGTGGTTGTGTACACACACTGCCAACACACATTTAAGTTCAAACAACTTGTAAAAGTGCATGACCCCTTTAAGAAATTCAAACAATAAATACTTTTTTTGGCTCTTTAATGTGTTGACAGATCGCTGTACTGTCTCAGTTCAAGCGGTACTTGAACTGATCATCTCTTCATCTTTACTAGTTATAGCACAAAATAAACATGAATGAACATCAGAACCGTGAAAAGACGTCAATACACCATTTTTCAAGTTCAAGTCCACTGACGTTAAACTACTCTCCTGTCTGGTTTGTTTGTTGGACAGAAATGATGGATTCAGAGTTATAATTGGTCAGATCGCCTCCTGGCGAAGGGTCAATTGCATGCCAAGATTGGGCAAAGTTCAGAAATAAAGAAAAACGTCTGCAGTTAATGCCATGTGCTGCACTTTTCACACATGTCTCTTTAAATAGATTTTTAATGATATAAGGTCTTAGTGTCATTTGGAGCACCCACTTATCATGTGGTGCGACCAATAATAGCAATTAACTGTATTAATTAATTATAATTTAATGAATCATTAAATTATAAATATTAACCACTGCTACAGTATGCTTAAGTGAATGCTATTTTTTAAACATTTTTATCAGTTTTATGCAAATTACAGGGGAAAAAAGTCTGCTAACTACATTTAAGAAGGCAACTCTGAACTTACAGAACAAAAATATGAGATCATTATTTACAAAAACTCAAAACAAATGCAAATACTTTGTTTCTAAGCACTTTAATTACTGAGAACATCTAAAAAAAATGTTAAACATGTTAAGTAAATGAATTACTTTTAATATGAATCATGGTCGTACCGCGTACATGACATTTTTTTAAGCCTACGGCCAATTCATCTAGATGAAAAAACACTAATATGAATTTATGTGTACACAACATTCTTAATGTTTGAACAATTACAATAGATGTTATTTTTTATATTTTAAAATCGAAAATACTTATAAGTACGTGTACGTCATGACCCACATACAGCTCTATGAGGGATAAATAAAAGCTTTAATAGATTCCATCATCATAAATAACTGAATAAAAGAGAAAGCGACTTGAGACAACATGCCCCAGTTACCGTTGAAAAAAAACTATTATCCTCGGAGAAAACAAACAAACAAACAAACATTAATTGTGTTAAATAGGCCTACTGAGATAGCAATACTAACATAAAACCTTCTCGACAAACTTCCCTGTCAAAAACATCTCCGCTCTCCTACATATTACAAACGTTTTAATTTAGTAAACAGGTAACAGCAAACATGTGAATTCATACCTGGTTCATTTTTCTCAGTCACAAGACCGCAGATCTCCATTCTGCCGCTCCGTTAGATAAAATTACGATTTTACTTCAAATCGAAAGTGAAACTCAAACACCGACACTACTACCTTTATATCTGCCTTAAACAGGGCCGTGCACAGACCTTTTGAGGGGCATGTGCTGAAACTGAAAAAGGGCACCCCCCCCCCCCCCCCCCTGC